AAAAGATATTTTGCCCTTATATTTAAATAAAAATGTCATCTTTGATGAAAAACTTTATTTGTTGTCTATAACACGTGTGAACATATAACACGTTTGAATAAAAATCAACAAGGAACAAATAATAGTAATAATAAAAATAATAATAATAATAATGACACATTTCGAAGTTTTGGTATGAAGGTTGAAACCAAATATATTTTCTCTTTCAAAAATATATTTCACTGAACATATATTCAGCGTATATTTAAAATATATTTGATTTTGCCGTATGGGTTAACCAGAACATGCAGATAGGCCTATTTCGGATTTATTGAATTAATTTCAGGTCAGTAATAATATAATAACACGCATCTCTGTGTCGAAGTGAAGCTGCTGAATTCAGTGGATTGTAATGAATCAAACACAAACTGGCTCATCAGGAGCGCATTGATCTGATTGAAGCATAATTCCGACGAACATCACCTGCGCGTTTATCAGCAGATGAAACTATTTCACATGAAAGACTGATCTGGGAACAGCTAATATTTGCGCTTTGCCAATCATTGCTGTTAATTGATCTGCTGTCAGTCGTGGCGCCTCGTGTCGGGATCATTCTGGACAAACTCCATCACATTCACACTGTAAGGAGAAAATAATGGCCTTGAGCAGCAGAGAAGCGTTCCTGACACGGAATTCTCCTGCTGCTCGATTAAACACATCAATAATCACGAACTTTCATCTTTTCCTCATTACTCAGAGAACAGACACAGCTTCGTTCAAGCCCAGCTCTTCAGTTTTCCAGTAGCACGTCATTTACAGTCATTTGATAAGAAAAGTCCAATCTGATCACTTCTTATCGGAGTCGTTCGGCGCTATTGATCACGGTTAGTTTCAATTAGCAGCTGATTAGAGTCCAATACAAGACAGTGATCAGTCAAACGAGGAGGAAACAGATGATGATGTGTGACACGAACACTGCTGCTTTCCTCATGATTTACAGCATTTCAAACTGCTGACAGAACGGAAGCCACACACACACACACACACTCACACTCACACAGAGAGAGACACACACACACACACACACACACACTCACATGATGATAAAAATCAGACACTCCAAGTTTAGAGATGAGTTATGAACATCACAGCATATTCATATTGATTGTGGCATCTTCTCAGCTCACAAGAAATGTTTTAACAACGTTTTCCTAACGTGAGTGTTCTCTGAACGTTCAAAACATCCAATTTTACAGACGTTTTTCTTATTTAAGTGAAGGTTTTATGAACATCCATTTGATCATTTTCCAAACATTATGGGAATGTTACATTTGAATGTGCTCTGAACGTTCTGAAACAAGTGTCACATTTAAAAAACGTTAGAACATTTCAGAAAAAAAAAATGAATGAACGATGCATAAATAATATTTTCGTGCTAACGTTTTGAGAACATTAACTGAACTAAATGAAGGTTGTATTAACATTACTGGAAGAACGTTTGCTCATAACTTTGAGAGAACGTTCATCAAAATAATTTTCTTGTCTAAAGGCTTTTGTTCTTTCTGAGCGTCTCAAAGCTTTGGATTCTGAATTTCATTTGTTGTATGTTGTCTCCATCTGCTGGATGTGGTTGATAAATGTAGAAATAAAGCATGCATATTTTTTAATAATTTTCTTCGTAATAATAATAATAATAATAATAATAATAATAATAATAGAAAACACGGAACAGTGAAATGACTCAACAAGTAATGATCAGTTTACCTGATAATTATGTTTTGACTTTGATGGGCATTAGAGTTAAAAAACAAAACAAAGCTTAGCATTTCATTACATGAAGAAGACAATCTTTCGCTGAAATTATTAATTCATTGTTAGAAAAAATAAACCTGTTAAAATCAAAAATAAAAACTTAATTGCTTAAATTATTAAGTAAAATTAAATTTAGTAAAGCATATTAATTACTGATGAAGAATAACTTATAGAAATTAATAAAATTAATTATAGAAATTAATACAAAGAAAAATGTTAAGACTTAAATGATGTTATTCTGATTGTATTCTGGTTATTCGTCTATGTAAGAAATTATTTGTAGTAAAGATTTTGTGATTATATTTTTATGCTATTTTGTGCAATGGATTCATAAAAATAAAACTACAAAATATTAACGAGTAGTAATGCCTTTGATTTTAAAGATAACGTCTTTACTAAAAAAATTAATAGAATCTTGTATTTAATTAATATCTATTTGGCAATAATAAATATTCAATAGCTTTTGTGTAGCCAAAGTTTGTGTTTACACAGAAAATAACTTCGAAAAATAAACACATTCACTGATGGCCATTATAGGGTTAAAAAAAAAATCTACGAACAGTCAAAACTCACGAAAATTACAAAACTGCATGAATAATTAAAAATGAATACAATTTTATGTAAGTAATTTGGCATGAATTAGAAAAATGTTCAATTTAATAATAATACGTGTTTGCAAATACCGGTCAGTTCCGGCAGGGCTCAGATTGTTATCATCTCCATTTAATTTTAGTTTTATTAGAAACATTTGTGCACTATGAAGTAGAATCGTTTAAGTCTATTGATGTCTGGCACAGCAGTCACTGTCAAAGGATTATGTAAAACGCCGCATCCGGTGATATCAACACTCGGCTGTGATTGGTCGATCCCGAGAAGCGCTGAGAAAAGTAACAGCTGCGTTATTCGCTCTTCAACCCCACCACTGAAATTAATAATTATTCAGCTCCATCATACCTGACAAATTAGAGACAAGATGCGGGCCACTAAAAGCGCTCATTTTGTGTTAATTTCTCTGATCCCGGGTCCCAATGTTCACACTATCCACCCTAAAAAATAAAATAGTATGTGAGATTACAATAAGTGTGTCCCTAAGCATGGTATGTTGACAAGAGTATGCCTAAAGTCCCCGGATGGTAGATTTTTGAAGTGTGGATCCGTGCACACTCTAATGGCGCATTGGCGAAGGATTCGATTCAGAACTACAAACACGAATAAAAATTGTTTTAAAACTACAAACATGGCGGATGTGCGCGACCGTTGTGTATTACGTAATAGTTCGTCCCAAAGCTTGCGTACTCTTCTGCTACACACTCAAAAGTGTGTATGTATTCTTCACCAAAAGAGTACATACTTTAAGGGCGTAGTATAAGTAGAAACATTGGGACGCAACGCCACGCGTTGTGTTTCACTAATAAGTGTCCGCCCCCTGAATCTCGCCTCTGGTTGGTGAGAAAGTAGTTCCGCCCCCGGTCGCCATGTATCGCTCCGCACGGAACCTGCAGCTCTTCAGCGCGGCTCTGTCGAACCCGCGGGCCGCTCAGAGATCCAGCAGCCTCCGGAACATCTGCCCTGCGCCGGGACTCCTGCACAGCCCGCACAGCCCGCTCAGAATGGTAAAATCGCGCTGTTTCTGCGGTGTTTAGTGAGCTGTGAGCCGGACCCACGGGCCAGTGAATGACCTTCATGTTCAACGCTCAGAAATCTGAATTATTACATTCATAGATGCATTTCATAACCTTAGAAATGTGCATTTGCGCTTACATAGAGCTGGCTTGTTTTTCTGAGGGGTGAAAGTGTGAATTATAGTCATTGAGAAACATGAGCAGGAGTTTCTGATCAGTTTTAATGATGAGAATCATAATCATATATCAGAAACACGAGCAGGCAAAGGATTTTGAACAGTAAGATTTGTAATGTTCTTTTAAAGAAGTCTCGTCTGCTCAGCGAGACTGCATTTATTTGATCAAAAATACAGTAAAAATTATGAAATATTATTAGAATCTAAAACAGCTGTTTTCTATGTGAATATCTGTTAAACTGTAATTTATTTCTGTGATCAAAGCTGTATTTTCAGCATCATTACTCCAGTCTTCAGTGTCACATGATCTTCAGAAATCATTTCTGATTATTATTATTATTTTTATGTTGAAAACAGCTGAGTAGAATTTTTTCAGGTTTCTTTGATGAATAGAAAGTTCAGAAGAGCACCATTTATCCGAAATAGAAATCTTTTGTAACATTATTAATGTCTTTATCATCACTTTTGATCAATTTAAAGCATCCTCGCTAAATAAAAGTATTATTTCAGATGAATGCTGATCTTTGGATCTTTCTATTCATCAAAGAATCCTGAAAAAAAGTGCCCAACTGTTTTAAGTATTAATAATAATAATAATCAGAAATGTTTCTTGAGCAGCAAATCAGTATATTAGTATGATTTCTGAAGATCATGTGACACTGAAGACTGGAGTAATGATGCTGAAAATACAGCTGCGCATCACAGAAATACATTACAGTTTAACAGATATTCACATAGAAAACAGCTGTTTTAAATAGTACAAATATTTCACAATTTTTGCTGTATTTTGGATCAAATAAAGGCACAGCCCTGGTGAGCAGAAGAGACTTCTTTAAAAAAACGTATGTTTTGTGGTTTCAGGCCAGCTCCGAGTCGTTCAGGATCGAGAGGGACACGTTCGGGGAGCTCAGAGTCCCTTCTGATAAATATTATGGAGCTCAGACGGTCAGATCAACCATGAACTTCAAGATCGGAGGAGCCTCAGAGAGAATGCCAGTGAGAAACACACTTACATGTCTGATTATGGTCTGTGTGATCTGTCAACGCTTCCTCTTCCTGTAGATTCAGGTGATCAAAGCCTTCGGGATCCTGAAGAGAGCTGCTGCAGAAGTGAATAAAGATTACGGTTTGGACACGAAGATCGCAGACGCCGTCATACAAGCTGCTGATGAGGTGATTTATCTCTCATACTACTGTATGAACATTAGCGTTACTGTAAATGATCCAGGGTTGTTATAGTTAACTATATATTTGGGCTTGATTTGACTGAGTTAGCGGTGTTCTGTGTTCTGTGTTTGACTCCGGATGTGTCTGCTGTGTGTTTCTGTTCCCAGGTGGCTGCTGGGAAGCTGGATGATCATTTCCCGCTGGTGGTTTGGCAAACAGGATCCGGAACGCAGACTAACATGAACGTCAATGAGGTGATCAGTAACAGAGCCATCGAGATTCTCGGAGGAAAACTGGTATACATGATGATATTTTTTAATTTATTTATTTATGTTAATTCATTTGTTATATTTTAATTAACGTATTTTATAGTATAATGTAATGATATTATTATAATGTAATATTATAATAATATATTTAAATTAATTTATTTTTATATTTTGTTTTTTATTTTATTTTATTATTGTTTTGTTGTTATGTTTTTTTTTTAACATTTAAAATTAGACAATATTTATTTTATGTTTTATATTTATTTATTCATTTTTGTTGTCTCGCAAGTAATTATTTTTAATGGAAATAAAATTAATAATATATAATTTTTATTTTTAATAGTGTTGTTTGTTTAAATGTTTATTTTTCATTGCATATAAATTCATTTGATATTTATTAATTTATTTTATTATCTCACAAGTAGTTATTATTTATGGAAATTAAAATAAGAATATATTAAACACCATGAGGTAATGCCTATTTTTGTGTAATCCACTGAATTAAATACTTCACAAATGAATGGTGCTTCTTTCACCCCTTAATACCAATAAATAATAAACAACAAACACCCTTAATACCAAATTATTTCTTGTCTTGTTTGGTTCACATCCTGCTCTGTGTTTTCACATGAATCTATGTTTCTTCATCACTCTCGTGTGTAAATAATGTAAATCAATCGTGCACACTGATGTGCAGATATTTCTCTCAGTGTTAAACCTTTCAAACAGCATGCACATATTTTCTTTAATATCCAGACTAGCTAAAAATCAACCTGCTACATAGGTAATATCTGCACAGTGAACTCAGCGGTTAGGTTATGCAAAGCTAATGTTTGTCTGGTGTGTTTGCTGCAGAGCTCTAATGACACGTTCCCCACTGCCATGCACATCGCTGCTGCTAAAGAGGTGCATGAGGTTCTTCTGCCGGGTCTTCAGACGCTGCATGACGCTCTCGCTGCTAAAGCTGAACAGTTCAAAGACATCATAAAGATCGGCCGCACACACACGCAAGACGCCGTGCCGCTCTCTCTCGGACAGGTACAGCAGCACGCTAAACAGAGTCAGAACTCATTTGATTAATTGCATCTGAAACACTCCTTTAAAGACCCAATGCAGTGTAAGTCACTTTGGATTAGAGTGTCTGACAAATGCATGAATGTGAATGATACTGAAACAGACAAGCGTACAGTAAACATGCGTGTCGCCTCCACCTGTTACCAACCAGTTTGCTGATTGAAGTGCATTGATTGAGAATAACCGCGGGCTGGTTTCTCATGTGTGTGTGTGTGTGTGTGCAGGAGTTTGGTGGATATGTCCAGCAGGTGAAGTACAGCATCGAGCGGGTGAAAGCAGCCATGCCTCGTGTGTATGAGCTGGCAGCGGGCGGCACTGCGGTCGGCACCGGACTCAACACGCGCATCGGCTTCGCTGAGAAAGTAGCAGATAAAGTGGCTGCGCTCACAGGTAACACACACACTCATACACACACACACACTCACGCGCACATACACACTCATACACACACACACTCTCTCTCACACACACACACACACACACACACACACTCTCTCACACACACACACACACACACACTCACTCATACACACACACTCTCACACACGCTCACACACACACAGAAACATTTCTGATTATTATCAATGTTGAAAACAGTTGTGCTGCTGAATATTTTTGTGGAAACTGTGATACATTTTATTTTTCAGGATTCACAGATGAATAGAAAGTTCAATAGAACAGCATTTATTTAAAATAGAAATAATTTGTAACATCATGAATGTCTTCACTGTCACTTTTGATCAATTTAATGCGTCCTTGATGAATAAAAGTATTCATTTCTTTCAAATGACACCAGATTTTGAGCAGTCGTGTATTTGAATATTGTAAATAAATGCAAGGAAGTCAAAACCAGTCGCAGTTTAGTATGCAAATATTACCATGACATCATCATTACATCGTGAATCTAGAGATTTTCAAACTTCAGTTTTACATTTCTTACCCAAAACCCAAAATAAAATGACTGTCTTTCTTCATATGATGCTTTATGTGAGGAACAGACTCAAGTTTGTTCTTCACGTTCACACACATTGAACTCATGCTTGAGTTCAGGGAGTTCTGTGTCTGACAGTCTGAAGAGATTGAAGGATCAGTGTTTCCACACAGATGTGTTTTCCTCGGGGTCCAGTGATCGCGTAAGGCTTTGTGTTCATTCTGCTTCCTCGTCCGCAGGTCTTCCGTTCATCACGGCGGCTAATAAGTTCGAGGCTCTGGCGGCCCACGATGCACTGGTGGAGCTGAGCGGCGCTCTGAACACCGTCTCCGTCAGCATGATGAAGATCGCCAACGACATCCGCTTCCTGGGATCCGGACCTCGCTCGGGTCTCGGAGAGCTGATCCTGCCCGAGAACGAGCCCGGCTCCAGCATCATGCCCGGTGAGTGACGCGCCCGCCGGCCAATCACAGCCTGAGGCTCGCAGGAAGCTGTGCAGTGGATAATATGAATGTAGATGATTTGTATTTACAGAAATGAATATGTGATGCACATATAATACACAGAGAGGTGTGCTGCAGGTTCACCTCTGACCTTTAGCTCGGGCTTCAGTTTCTGGTCTATTTTTGGGGCTTTGATGTCCTCGACCTCTGAAAAATGCAACACACACACACACATACACACACTCATACACACACGCACACACACACACACACACTCACTCATACACACACGCACACACACACACACACGCACGCACACACA